AAGCTGCCACTCGAGCCGGGCCAAGCTTTTTGCTTGGTTAGACCGGCCAGTGTTTGTGTGGTCGTGGGGTTGAGAAGGCGTGCCGGAGATCGCATGCCAGAACAAACAAGTTCAAGTCAGCCAGCAATGGCGCCAGGTGAAAAAATACAGCAAAGGCGCACATTCAGACCAAGAAATCATTTTCCAATTTTGGCTGCGACTCATGGACCAGAGTTGAGTCAACACTTCCTAGCAAAGCATGTGCACTTAGAAGGTTACATGATGTGGTGAAGTGAAGTGAAGTGTGATGCAGGAAACCTGGCAAATTCCGGCAGCAATGGCTGCTTGGCTGTCGTGCAGGCCTGACTGGTTAGAGTCTTTGGTTCTTGGTCCTAAAACCGGGCGATGTCCCATTCTGTGAATCAGTAGTGGGATATGAATTGATGCTGACACAGACGCATGGCATGGCACATTGCTTGCACAAAAAAGTTTTTTGATGCAGGCCTGCAGCTCCTGTATCCAGCGGCAGCGCATGCGCAAAGACACAAAAAAAAGACTCAGACTCATATAGCAGCAGTTTTAGATGTGTGTGCAACAACGCAGGAAGTGTAAACAATAAGCCTTGAACGTGCGGAAAAAAACAACGATGGAACTATTGAACATAGAATAGTTATACGCGGTGAATGTGTTGAATAAACAACACTGAAAGCGTGGAAAATGTGCGGTGAATGTGTGGAAAAACAACGGTGGAAGTGTGGAAAATGTACAGGAAAAGTGTGGAAAAACATCGTTGGAAGTGTGGAAAAAGTACAGCTAGAGCGTGGAAAAACAGCATTGAAAGCGTGGAAAATCAGCCCTTGCCACAGAACTTTATGAATAGCATAAGTACAGAAATATGTCATAAAGAACAAGTGGTCGAGGGCCTCCCCAATATATATATATATATTATGTGTTTGACTTACTGCCCTTGCCAGGACAGTTGACCTTGAAGGTTTTTGCGTGTCAGTGGAATTGGAGGACGTTTTGCGTGGAAGAAGTGCTTTAAAACACTCCAAGTGCAGAGATAAGCAAGGTCTATGTTTGTCACACACACACATTTCCCGACGAAGTGGCAGAACATGTCACCACAAAACAATGTAAACAACTTGATAGCCAGCAAGAGTGTGTTCACGATTCGCCCATTGTGCGATGCAGTTCTTGCGCCTTTGTTAAGCATTGCACAGGGTGAGGCTGCATGAGAGATAAACACCATGATAGAGAGTGGTGGAACATAGGCAAGATGTGGCCGCGGAAGATGCAGATGCGCTGTGACTAGGGCACAAAAAATAATCTAAAAAAGTCGCTTTCAAAGTCGTTTCTAAAACAACGGAAGCTGACCAGACACGTAGGATAGATACGATCCTAGATTCTTCACCTTCAAGAGGTGAGCCGGATCAGCTGCGGGGATCCAATCAAGAGAGAAACACCAACCGGGGCTTACTTAGTGCTCTTAGCTGCAGCACGAGAAAAGCTGACCGAAATAAACGCAAGCGACTGAACCGGCAACAGTACAGAGAATTCGGGACTTGGTACGAAAAGTACATTGCAAAACGGAAAGCCCCCAAACCGCGTTTGCGACAGCAAAGAGGTCGGTGCAGTTCCAAAGTCAGCCACACCGATTCGACACGTGCGAAAGACCCTGTTTCACCTTTTCAAACAGTCGCAAGTTGTCAGAAAGCAAAGGTCGTCTAATTGAGATACAATAAACCTCTCGGAGTAACATTTCATTCAAGATGTTAGACAAGTCTCAGGGAGATTAATTTCAATCACATTGAGATCAAAGGGCAGGAACTTGTGTTTCAGTTCATGTTATGCGCCGCATAGCGGCCATGATATAGAAAATAACATTTTGTTTTACCAAGAAGTGCAAACATTCATATCCGCAAAAACAAAAGGCACACAATTTTTAAGGAGGAACCTGCGCTGGGACGTTCTATTTTTGGTAGAGGCCCTGACTATCTAGAGCAAGTCGCAGATTGCACCCTTGAGAATCGATTGCTGTTTCTCAACCACTGTTTGCAGGAAGGCCTCAGCGTCTTGAACACTTTCTTCAAGAAACCCCCAGAAAAGTATTGGACATTCACAACTGAACACGGCCCAGAGTGGACTCCTTGGAGGCATGCGCAATTCGATTTCTGATTGGTTGCGGATAAACGGCGTAGAAGCTGTACAGACGTGACAGCTAGAACCGACATTTTCTTCCCTTCGGACCATTACTTAGTTGAAACTTGTGTTGTCATCAGATTGCAAGCTCAAAAGCCGCCTAGATCAAGAGCGCCAAAATTTCGACAACCAACCCAGATAGAATCCAACAGATTCAACGACCTGCTGCAGAGCAAGCTGAATGAGTTCTTGCCAAGTTCAGATATCGCTTGGAGTGAAATCTCCAAATGCACGCTAGAATGCTAGAAGTTGCAAACAAAACCCTGACACCCGTAGACAGGAAACAGAAACAGGATTATATCTCCGAAGAGACATGGCAGAAAATTGTTACTAGACAAACTGCTCATGAGAATTGGAACCTGCTGGCTGTCAGGGATCTTTCGTTACAAATCAAGCACATGGCTCGCAGGGACAAGCGACATGCTGTTTTGGAATCTATTGAGAAATCCCTCATTATGAAGAAAGGTCCCCACCCCAGGTTCATTCACATGAAGAATCTCGATGGTGAATTTTGTGGCCCCTAAAGATAGAGCAGAAGCAATTGCCACGTATCTCCAGGACAAACATTGGACAAGCCGCACTAATGTGCCTGTCGAAAATTCTGCGATCATCCAAGACCTTACGGATCAGTTTGATACTGGACATTTCACTATGGCTGAGTTTGATGCGGCCCTGGCTACGACCAAGATGTATAAACAACCAGGACCTGACAAAATCGTCATGGAACTATTCAAGTGGATGAACAATGAAAACAAATCTGGGTTCCTGAGGCTGTTAAATTTCTGGTGCCTTCTAGGAGCACTTCTCACGCCTTGTTCCTCACTCGAAGAATGCAAGATATCTCGGAACAACAAGGTTCTAACCTAATTATATATATGTAACTTTTCTTGATTGGGAGAAGGCATTTGACAAGGTACAGCATGATCAATTATATGTGGCGCTACGTAGACTTGGAGTCCATGAACATTTCATAGATGTGATAAAGAATTGTTATTCAGACCCGTATTTCTTTGTCGAAGATGAATTTGGCACATCCTCAACTAAACGGCAGACGGCCGGAATCAGACAGGGCTGCCCTCTATGTCCTTACCTTTTTGTGCTGGGAATGAGTGTAGTTGACCATGATAGTTCTCATAGTCTTGATAGGCGCACCATTAGGTCAAGAAAGGTTGGCATTGATTTTGATAGAGTCTACTACGCCGATGATGCTGTTCTGCTCGCCACTAATACTTACGCTGCCAACCGAATACTTTGGGCCGTAGAAAGGATTTCGAAGCAGTTGGGACTCCTGCTTAAATGTTCATATACAGCGATGAATGGAAACAACGTGATCAGATTTGCTGATGGGACCAGACTTACGCAATGCTCTGAATGTACGTACTTGGGACATCACATCACCCAGTCATTGAATGTAAGACAGGAAGTGGGTCAAAGAATGCAGCAAGCCATGAAAACATGGTTCAAACTCAAACCATCCTGGCAAGCAGCAAATTGCACCCCTAGATGGAGGCTTCGTGTCTATCATGCGGTAATCTAAAACAAACTTATTTATGGGTTGGACACCGTTCACCTCAGCCAAAGCATGTTATTTTTTTTTCAATTTCCATTGCCTTAGAAGGTCTCTCTTCCGTGGCGTCTTTGCACCTAATTTACGCCCCTTGCAGTCTCTGGGTTGAAGTCCGGTCCCTGCTTAGCCTCCATATTAAACTCAGCCATCAGGTTCTGAACATAGTCAGAAAACTCGTCAGGGTGGGACTTCAACCCAGAAGGCGGCAGCATATGGTGAAAAACAGCCGCAAGTGCTTTACAAAGGCCAGCCCAAAGCATGTTAAAGAAAATACTGTAAATGCATTTCACCTTCGTGGCCCGAGATCGATTTTGGGACTGGAGACAACTTTTGTCAATCGAAGAAGCACAAATGAGTTTGTCTTGAGAACTGCTTCTGAACACGCTAGACAACAAATCCAGTTGTTTTCGGACCCCCCTCAAAAAGAGAGCTGCATTAGCTGGGCATATTCTTGGAACTCATAATATTAAGACAAGTCACTTATGCGCCCAGTTCTGCAAGCGGTTTTCCCATTGGCAAGAGCAGGGTTGGAGGTCCGAAACAGCAATGGCGCCATTGCACACACAACATCTGGGATAACTTTTCGGACGAACGGACGGAGTATGAAAACACGGAAAGGCAAAACCAAATGTATCAGATGGCTCGCACGCGGAAATTTTGAAAGCTGCCGCATCGCGGGCCTACGGACACTTTAGTGCCCACGGCAGAAAACATGATTTGTTAGTACCAATGTGTGCAGACTAGTTTCAAATGGCACCCTTCTTTGTGCAACGAGGCGCTTGTGCAAGGTGCTGTTTGACTCTTTTGCCGGGCGCGGTGCTGTTTGCAGGACAGTCGAGTTGTCGAGGGCTTGAAGTATGACCAGGTGCGCAGAGGTGCTAAGCAGGTGCTGTAGCATTCAGCCAAGGTTAGTGAATGAGAGAGCAGGACCTTTGAAGATCTCCTGGAATTCATTGATCCAGGTGTGCAAGATTGAGGACAGCTGAACGTGCAAATTTCTGGTGGGATGGCTGGTTTCACAGGAGGTGACACTGTGTGACGCTTCGAAAATGTTTATAGCAGCCTTACCACAAAAAACATCAAAAAACTGTTGGCCAGTGTTTTGTATCACTGGAGAACGGGGTCAGTCGCTGCAGAAAATATAACTGGCTCCAGGGTTTAGATTTTTGGCAGGTGAGTGAGTCTTGTGTCACAGCTGTTGGATTCAGCAGGTGAGTTTTACAGTACATGCGCACGTTCTTGTTTGCTGCATTTGTGGCTCCAGTTGACCCAATAGAGGTCCTAGCTTCTAGGCCACGAGGTCCAGGAGCACCTGTTGGTCTTTGTTGGCCTTACCTGTGGCTACTTCAGGTCCAGCCTGTCAGGCCCAGTCTGTGAGATGGGTGATGAATCATTTTTGCGGCCGCTTGCCGCTGCAGCAGCAGCCAAGGCAGCGGCAACGATGCCGTTCGATATCAATGACGCCCATTCTCCGATGAAGGTTCCGGTGCCCAGTGAGGGCACTGGCAGAGGCAAGAAAGGAGGTGGGCGCGGAGGAGGAGGAGGGAGAACTCCACATCGGAAGGCTCCAGCACCACAGCCACCACCGCCCCCATCCTTCCAGCAAGCAGAGTGGCCAGATGTGGCATCATCTCCTTTTCAGCAGGCGATCCCCCCAGCATACGGCATGACAAGTGGAATGGCATATCCACCTGCGCCTGCGGCTGGCATGCCGGCCCCGTATCCAATGGCATGTCCTCCAATGCCCATGTACGGCATGATGCCTTTCATGCCTTATCCACATCCAATGCAATACATGCCAGGAATGCCAAACCCCGTTCCAGCGCAACCACCTGAAAAAAGTCGAGGCAAGCAAGGCACTCAAGGAAAGGCTTCCCAGAGAGGTGGCGAAGGCGTTAACAAGAAGCGCCGCGGCAAAGCCAAAAGCAAAGATGGCAAGGGCGAAAATCCGTCCGACTTGGAAGCCAATCCCAATTGCAGTGAGGAGCTCTTGGCTGTACGCAGTGCCCAAGGAAATGGCGTCAAGGCAAAGCTCTCATTTCAGGAGGCGCTTGCGGAATCTAAGGGATCAAAAGGAGAAATCACAATGAGAGAGACAGGGAACAGAATGGGTTGGGGCTCTTTCAACAAGGCCGCTTTTCAGGATGCTTCATTCAAAAGGCCAAAACACATTCAAAAGGCCAAAGCACATTATTTTTTAACAAGTCTTTCTCTTTTATATACGATATGACTCCCAGTGTAGTGGGCCTTTGCGCGCGGCCTTTTTCCCTATTTTCCTTCGTGTTATCATCCGCCAATTCATTGCAGCCTCAGCGTGGTTTTCCCAAACTGGATCACCCACATGACTTATCCTCCTCGTACTCGCCTTCGACCTGATCCTACAACATCAGAGCTACCTGCATTAACCGCGAGCTTTTGTCTATGTTTTTCAGGTCAGCAGATCATCACACCTGTTTGGCGGTGTAGTCGAAATCAGCTCCTGGGTTGAGTTGGCCACAAGGGTCAAAACGCCATAGGATGTGCAAGGCATTATCAAAAACATGCCCCCAGACTGCGAGGAACTGCCACTACTCGTTGTGGACAGTGAAGCCAGTTGGACATTGTGAAGTTGTTGCATCGACAACTGCGCAGGTCTTGCCTCACCTTCTTGAATTCGCTCAAGACCAGCATGGAAGCCGCTTCTTGCAAGGGAAGCTGGATGAAGCTAGCCCAGAAGAAAGTCACTTGGTTGCAAGACTTCCTCAAAGTTATCAAAGGATGCCCCGCATTTGGTGTTGCCGTGGTGTCTGCACCAAGGGCAGCAAGCATTCTCCGTGATTTGTGCGGATGATGCTAATCCGGATGCAGTGTCGTTGGCGAAAGATGTGAGTGGCAACTTTGTGGTGCAAAAGCTTTTTGATATAGGCGACACATGCGTTGTGGTGTTCAGCATGTGGATGTTATTGTGTAGAATTGACACTCAGACGCTCAGCCCATTTAAGCTAGAATCTAGAAAGCATCCCGACAGGAACGCAGGAACAGAAGAAGAAGCTGGCCGAAAAGCTGCAGCCTGAAGTTGCAAGTTTGTCGAAAGATAACTATGGATGCCGAGTTGTGCAGAAGGCGATATTTTGGTCCTCAAAGAATGTCTTATATACATAGAAATCTAGACCAAACCGCAGACTGCCCAGTTCACTTGCAAATCGGAAGGCCATCGGTGCGGTCTCCAAAGATTTGCAAGTAATGCTGGCCTCATCTTTGCAGAGTAATGTCACTGACTGCATCACTAATATGCCGCCCGACTCAGTTGACCAACTCCTTGCTCTTGATTGTTTTCTTAAAATGTGATTTGTTTAGTTTGGGATTTCAGAGTTTCTTATTCAGAAATAGCATTTTTGCACTGTTTCTTTGCCGTGCCTTCGGTTTTCTCTCTTTTTTGGTTTTGTTTTGTTGCTTGTAAGAATGCAAGCCAATTGCAAGCAAAAGAGTAAGGAGACAAGGGAGGAAGGGAGGAAGGGAGGAAGGAAGCAAGGAGGGAAAACAACTTATGTAGTTCTTGGTTGGTTTGCTTTTGGGGGACATGTGGCACATTTTGACACTTTGTAGACTGCCAAAAGTGCTGCAACTGTAGCTGAAGGTGAACACAGGAGGCCCCAAATGCTGTCCATGGATATGTGCACAAATGACCACACGAATAACCACACACAATACACAGATGCAATTTTGAGGGCGGCGCAAAATCGAGCAACATAATCCAAAAGCCAAGCGCCCAAGCATCCTTCTCGATGCTGAGACGCAGTATTGGATGCAAGGCAAAAAATACTGGCAAAAAACGATCTTACAAGTTCTTGAAGGAATCCAGTTCCCACGCTTTTTGAAACTCTTTGCTTTGTTCAAACTTCGACTGGAGTCAGCGGGGTTTGTAGCACTTGACGAGGCACGGGAATCACGTGGTGCAAAAGTGCATTGAGCAAATGCCTCCTGACTCTGTGAGCTTCATTATCCATGCAGTGCCTCAGATGCTTAGTAACAAGAAGCTACTAGTAACAAGTGCATCGCTACTAGTAACACGGGCCTTACTACTAGGAGCAAGAAGCAACTAGTAACAAGCAGATATTGCATATTGCAAGGAATGAAGGTACAGACTCACAGGACCTAAGATGAGGGAAGCGCTGAACCAAATCCAAATTCTCAGGTGCAGAGTGATACGGCGCAGCTTGACTCGCACAATGATAGCAAGGATTGGCAGGATTTTTGTACGGACTCCATAGCTATTTCGTAGCTGTTCGGCAGCTTTCCAGCTCTTTGCTGCTCAGGGCGCTGGCTTCTCATATCTATGGCTGTCGTGTAATCCAAAGGCTTCTCGAGCACTGTGCATCTGGACAACTTACGGCACCTAGGCTTGCAAAATGGATAGCACGGCCTAGCACGGTTGAAACAAGGGCATTGTCAACAACTTTCAATGCCAGGAGATGCTGGACAGGATTCTAAGCAACATCGAAGTCCTGTCTAAGAACCAGCTTCTAAGCAGCAGCTTTCCACGGCAGTTCTGCTGTGTAGCAGAGTTTATCATGAGTTTTCTTCCGCTCTCATTCGGAATCGCCATCCCGTAGTGCTGTATAGGTTTGGCAACTATGTTGTTGCTCGGCGTGAAACATGGAGTAGAGGTTGAACTTGCATGCCAAATGCCGAATGCCTCATCAATGAAGTGTCTACCGTATACTCGTCTTGTTTAAAGAGGTGTGACGTGTGTGGTTCCCGTTCGCTATCAGATCAAAAGTCTTAGGTGCAGCATATGCTGGAGCATGGCCGCATCCAGGACAAAGAGCGGATCATCGATGTAGTCAGGGCTAAGATCTTGGATTTTGCAATGGACAAGCATTCAAGCTCAAACCTCAGCTTGTGCAAGTTGGCGGCAGCATTGGAACAACAAACTTACAGAAGAAACCTGTGGCAAGCAGGAGAGCGAAACAACTTGTTTGGCTGGCTGAGGCAATGTCGCCACTTTCCCGCGCTTGTTCCCATGAGATTTTGCAGCAATTGGCCTTGGAGTACACATCTGGTTTCTCTGACACACTGAGGTTGAGAAGTGCTTTGAGGCATCAACTATAGGAGAGCATGCAAAGGAGCTTGAGGGCAAACGTGCTCAACTTGTTGATGCAGTGCTGGGGCAACCTGGTGACGTCAACAGCCACTCACCTCAAATTCAGCGAGCTATTTGACGGCCTGTTTTTGTGTGGTGTGACATTGAACGGTTCATCAAAGAGACAAAAATCATCCAGCTTTCTATCCTTGTCCGCTTTCCTGTGGCCTCTTCAGGGCAAAAAGGTCGCCGATTCGCCAGTTTTTATGCCGGCAGCACATGACACACACATACAGGACGATTCTAAATGTACCTAGTTCTGATTGCTTGTCACCTTGCCTGTGGCTGCCTTGCAATTGCCACGCCGTCCCCCGCAATTCCTTGGGTTAAAGGATTTGGTGAGTGCCATCACATAGCTCTGTGTGATAGAACCATTGCCGTAACTTGCAGGGCCACTGGTTTGTGGAGTTTAAGAAGTCAACCTTGAAGTATACGTGGTTAAGTGTGGCTATGGCATATAACTTTGCCTTGGTCCCGGGCAAACTAACAGGCTCACCAGCACTTTTGGAACTCAATCCTTGTTAATTTGGCTGACCCAGGCCCTTTGTGCGAGATGATGACCCACAGGCTTGTGACTTTCACACTTATATAGGTCACCAAGAAATTGGAGTAGGCGTTTGACAGTTGTCTCTGAGTTCTTCCCTGCAGGTATGGCAACTATGTTGTTCAACGTTTGATGGAGCATAGCCGTGGAACAGAGAGGGAGCGGATCTACCGCACATTGAACTCACTGCCAATTGATTTCAAGCTAGGCCCTCAGCCTCCACCTAGGCCTAGGCCAGAAACAGGAGAGAACGAGAAGCCCAAAGTTTAACTTTGTATGTGATGCTCATGATTCCCTTGCAACTGATCCAGGTCACATCAGCATGGTATGCACATTATGAACGCCTTGCAGAAGGCAGGTGGGACGATATGATCAACCTGCTGCATTGCTTTGCTGTTCGACTGTCGGCCCTGTGTGGACGTTAGGACTTCAAAGAGTTCAATCCCGATGGATATGCTCAAGGCTGAGTCAGTGACGGCGGCGAGCCTTCAGGAGCGACCTGCAATGTGATCGAGGTGACGATGAAGCATGTGCATGCGTGCAATCAATGCATACATCCGCAATCGTGTGTATCACATGCAATGCACGTGCACACATGATCCTTTTCTGGGATTGGGAGCGATGCGGGATACTCAAAGGGATGCGCAGATTTGGCACGTATCTCTATTAGATTGGAGGCCATCGCCAGTGGGTTCGAGGCCATGGCTATTGGGTTGGAGGCCATCTCTATTAGGTTGGAGGCCATCGCATCTAGGTTGGAGGCCATTGCTTCTCTTTTTGCTCAGGACTGATTTGGTGTACAGACTGGGCTGATGGCTCAAGGTGGCCCAACTGGCCTATGGCATTCTACAATTCATACGAGGAGACTACCTTGTATATGTACTTGTGGTGTTGGAAGTAATTGAAACTTGCCTCAGAAGGTTCAATCATAGGTCCTCAACCCAGCATGGAGCCTAGTGGTGGCTGAGAATGGATCCTACATTCTCAGCTCTCCACGGATTGGTGTACAGACTTGTACAAAGACCACACGCCTTCACTGGACAAGAATTCGCCTTGTAGATCCAAATCATTGCCCTGTGTATGCCCTGTATATTATGTGGCTGGTGCTGCGCGACGGCTGCTAGCATGGTCTGTTTTCTTCGGAGAGTACTTATGGCTTTTGCAGTGGTTTTACTCCGGGCCTACTATGTTGCAGCAACCATGCGCACACCTGTGATCCATCACGTGGGCACAATGGCCGTGCATGTTTTGATGTATTCTGTGAAGTAGCGCACGCCATTGCACTTGATGTCCATGAAGGCAGCCATGGGCCAGGAAGACTCGCATTCCGCATTCCTGCTGTCGTGTCTACAAGCAGGCCTCCTAGAAGTGAAACTGACGGGGCTCGAAAACAAGGTGACAACAGATTCATGAACATGCGCGCTTAGAGGGGGAAATGCAATGAAGTGAAGATGAAGATCAACATGAAATTCACATCAGACCCCCCGCAAAATGCACATGTTCATGAAGCGAAGATGAAGTTCATGAAACGAAGATGAACGTGAAGTTTACGAAAGGAACATGTTGACGTCGATGATCCAGCTGACCTTCTTTCCCGGTAAACAGAACGTCATGATCGTTGTGTGGTCACATGCTACAATGGTACTGCAAAACACCATCGACATCTCAAACAACACGGGCTTTTACATTACCGCCAACAATGACCTGTGAGGCATGAACCGATGACTCAATCCTTGCTTGCCTTGCAGTTTTCGAGTCTATTTGCTTAGAGCCTGAATCATCACACGAGGCGTAACCAATGCCACTTGTACAATATAAGTCGTGGTTCGAACTAGAGATGTCACAAGCTGATGCAGCGCACTTTTGGGGTTTCCGCGTTTGGGACGAGTTTGGCCTGGCTCTAGGCGATATGAACCGCAGGTTGACAGTGCCCGACCTGCGTCATGTAGGCCCAGTTGGTGCCCCGTGCACCTGCACAGGGAGGAACATGTGAAAATAGCAGCTGAACAAGTTGTGTGTTTCCTCAAGTGATATTGATTGTTTGACACCATGTAACTGCTTCCATTTGAGAGTGAGTGTCATCTTGGCATCTCTCGGATTTGTAAGCTTTGGCCCACTGATGAGAGCAGCTGAAACATCATTCCATCGGACCCTTGCAATGGTCTTGTGCATGTCAAGATGCCACCAAGCAGCCCGAATATGTCATACAGTTCTCTTGTTGACAACATTTTCCTTGTTACAGATTGGGGAGGCATGGCTAGGTCGGCTAGGTTGGCAATTGCAGCCGCCGACTTGCTGGAAACAGACACTTAAGCAGAGCGGTTCAAGAAGCCTTGAGAAGTTCAGCACATCCCTGTCTTTGAAAGTTTATCGACTTGTTTCTCACATGGACTTGCCATACCTGCGCGCACTTGGCTTGCCTATTTGTCAGAACCATTTAGAAGAGACTCCGTCGGCTTCGACCCTCCAGGGATGGACACGATTGCAAGAACAGATGCGTGCTCAGTTGAAAGATGTGGACGACCCGAATTGGGGGCGCCCGCAATCCTACAGAATTGGAGGTTTGGACATTAGCTTTGAAAATGGTACGAACAGAGCTACCGCCGTATTGGTCGTTTGCGAGCTCACTGGCACATCGCTGATTCAGATTTATGAAGATGCAGTGGATGTAGACATGAACTTGCCATATGTTTCTGGTTTTTTGTTTGTCCGGGAACTTCCAGCATATGAAGTCTTGCTGCAGCGATTGAGGGAAAGCGCTCCAAAAATTGAACCTGATGTTTTCCTTGTTGATGGCTCTGGAAAGTTCCACCCTCGTGAGTGTGGTTCGGCGTCTCATTTTGGCATTTTGCACAATCTGCGGACGATTGGAGTTGCCAAAAAGCTGCTGTGCTTCGAAGACTTTGACAAGCGAGCTGGTGAACAGGTTGAGCAGCAGATTCTACCAAACTTTGGTGACGATGTTCCATTGATAGGTTCGTCTGGACGTGTTTATGGACTTGCGCTTCGCACCGCGCATCCCGGCAAGAAGGAGGATGCGAGTTCACGACGCATATATGTGTCCATAGGGCATCGTTTTTCATTGGATACAGCGAAGCAGGTTATTCTGAAATGCTGTGATGTTGGAGGCTCTTACATTCCAGAACCAATAAGGCTTGCAGACCTTACAGGCCGAGCAATTGAGCGAGCGTGGAAACAAATGCAGTCAACAACGGACTTAGACGTCCCCAGACTTCGACAAATGGCCATGGATATATCTAACCTTTTGGACAACAAGCAGCGCAAGACTCTATCAGGAATGCTGGAGGAAGCCAAACTAGATCCCCGAGAGCGGCTGACTAACGTTCAACCACAGCACCTGAAGCGAAAGCAGTCGACTATCGAAGATTTGTTCTTGCCACTGCAGGAGCACGTTGGTTTTTCAGCTATATATATATATACACACATGGAGGGCTATTTTGTCGGGACATTTTTGTGTTGCGTTTAGGGAGTTTTTGGTGGATCTGCTTCTTATTGCTTTTCTGGCGTTTGATTGCTTCTCTATAATTTCTTATGTTTCTTCTTGCTTGTTTTGCTTTTCCTCGCTTTTCCTTGCTTTCCATTGCTTCTTTGTGGTTCGGTCCAGCTTTTCCTGCTTTTTTGTGCTTGTCTTGCTTTCCATGCGTTTCCTTTGCTTTTCACTGCTTCCCTGATTTCTAATCCTTTTCTTGCTTTTTCTGTTTATTTTTTGGAGCTTGCTTTGCACATTCTTTTTTCTCATCATTTCCTTTACTTTCCTGCTTCTTGTTCTCTTGTGGTATATTGTTTCCCTGTTTTAAATTCGTTTGCTTTCTGTGGCATTGTTGCCGTTGCTTTTTATTAGTTGCTGTATTCCAGTTTTTCTGGCTTTCTATACTTTTCCTACTCTTGTTTGGTTTCTTGTCTACCGGTTGTTGTGTTGTTTTTCACCATGAGGGACAACCCAAAAGCATCATGTAAACAGATGCACTTGTCTCATGTTTGTTCGCGTTGCGGGCGGAATTTTTGTTTTTGCCTTGTGGTCCAGTTGGTTAGCACATTTTCCCCAGATAGCGTGAGTTATTGGGGTTCTTACTTCAAGTGTATAGGACGAGCTGCATGTGTGCGTTTTCGAACCTGGGTGCTGGTGCCGCTGCAGGGTGCCGCTGCTTCATGCGCTTGGAAGCTTGGGTGCTGGTGCCGCAGGCTGCGGCTGCTGCTGCTGCCGCCGTGTAAGGCTCGGTGCGCTTTGGAGGTGCCGCTGCAGGGTGCCGCTCGGGGCGCTGCTGCGATATGTTTTTGGCTTGTGCGGTTGGAAGTCAGGCCACAGAAACCTGTTTTTTTCTGTCTTGGGTCTATGCTGGCATAATTTTTTGGGAGGCACAGAGGCCCTGCACACCCTGAAATAATCATAGAAAGCGGCCTACTGGGCACTCATTCTACAAGCAGCTAGCTTTCCACTTACACTGGGGGAACTAGAGAGTACCACGGCCACACAAAAATCCTCCAAACGCAACGCAAACCATCACCAAATAAATATATACACTGTATATATAGTTTCTTCCGTTTGTGCTATCAGAGAGCCGGCGGGCTTCGATCCAGAGTCCTAGATGTTGTGTGCAATTGGATGTTTGTAGGACATGTGCCCTGATGCCGAAATCAGTGCTGTGCTGGCAGCATCTTGGCTGGTCTTGGTGGGGGCCCCTTTCTTTGTGTGATTTGCACCGGCGCACAGCAAGCATGGGGTTCAATACTTAGGTCTTTTGCATTCTTGTCGTTACTGCACAACTTGTGCAGACGTTTGGCACACAAATGCTAGAACTTTTGTTTATAACGTGCAATGTAACCTATGTAGCTATTTGTAGGCCCTTCGGATGGAGAAGCCCTGGGCCTTGGCTGTTCTCAAAGAGCCATTGCGCAATCAACCGGCAGGGAGGGCCATGCGGCCAGCTGTGTTAGACGCTTCGAGCCGCTAGCAAAGCTTGAGCAGAATCCATGCAGCCTCATACGTACAGGAAGGCTTGAGGGCGATGGCTGGCTTGAGGAAGGTTGGCACGGTCGTTGTACAGAAGTTTCTCAAGGGTGCCGCTAGAAGCAGCACCTGCTCATACCACCAACCGAACCCAGCAGGTTACTGGCAAACCGCCCCAGAGCCAGCATGTGTCTTAAAAAAGGAATCAAGTAGCTCCGGCAGCTGTGGGGTTGGACATTGAGTCCGCGGCACGGGCAGTCCAAAATTCCGTGTGTTGACTGCTTGACTTCAAGGCTCAAGGAGTTCGGTAGCTGCGGGCTGATGTGCATTGCAACTTGCCTTATGCTGTGTTGCTGCCGCCCTTGAGCTGTACCAGTTGATGAATGTAGCCGCCCCCGTTTGGTGCATCCTTGCTGTGGCCTGTGCCAGACTTGGGGAGTGCCTTTTCCTCCGACAGTCTGACGCGCGGGATTTCTATCCACAGCTCGCGCCTTTGCTTGCAGCAGTAAACGAGACTTCCAAGCTTGAATCCGATACAACTGCCTCGTTGTCAGCTCCATACCTGCACAGCATTGAAGCGACCCTGACAAGCATGGCCCAGGGCTTGTCACAGGCTCCTGGAGACTCAGTGAGTCAAGTGAAAGCCGATGTGGTGAGAATGATTGACAACTTGCTCAGACCAAGGATTTTGGCAGAACATGATGCCATTCAGTCCCAAGTTGCAGCATTTAGCAGCTCCTTTGCCAAGTGCGAAACGGAGCGTGCCGTTGCCCTGAACCAGTCTTACAGCAAACAGGAGGGGCTTCCTCTCCTGATCGCTAACCACAAAGCTTGCCGCTTGCACGAAAGCAAATTGGGGTATGGGCTCGCATCCTGCAAGGAAACCTTACAATCTTCAAAGGAGGTCGATGCATCGACATGTGAGGCCGCCAAAATGGAGGGAATTCCTGATGTCACCAGCTGTGCCTCTCACGGAGAAGATGTGGAGCAATACCATCGTCGGGTCATAGCGCAGTTTCGAGAACGACTTGATAGCATTCGGCACAAAAAGGTGCTCTGTTCAAACACCACCGAAGCTTTGAAGCTACAGGAGGCCGTTTGCGCGGGACAGGCCGATGAGATCCAGCAACACAGGTCCAGGTGCAACTCTAGACAGGAAGAAATCGACTCCACCGTGTGTGATCTTTCCACGTCAATGAGCACGACTTGTGCACGTTACAAAGCGTGCAGATCGCAGGTAACAGTGTCGTATGATTTGGTGCGGCGCACGGTGCAATCACGGGAGGAGACCCTTCAGGATGAGTGGAAGGCCCTGGGAAGAATAGAGTGCATTCTGGATGCGATGTCAAAGTTGGATGCGGTAGTAGCCACCCAAGAGTGCTTCCACGCTTCATACAGCGACTCGGTCAAACAATGGGAGGGGCTGGGAGGAACTAGACGTGCGGACGACAGTCTGGCCTTGTAAGGCCTTGAAATTGATGGTTGTCAAGCCGAAAGCCAAGGTGTCAGCCATCTGAATGTGAATTATGTCACGATCCCAGAGTCGGCTCCATGTGCAGCTTTGGCAGAAATTCCGGGAACAGCGGAGTACAACAACACGGTCTTCCAGGGGTTACCTGTACCTCGATCGAAGCTGATGGTGGTGGTGACTTGCGATTGTTGTCATCATTGTGGTCATCGTTGTTCAATGTTTTTCACACATTTGGGCTCTAACAAGGGGCATTTCAATCTTATGAACGTATTATGATGAACACACAAAATCAAGAGTAAGTGTAGAAACTGGGCAACTTTGAACACGCACACACACACACACACATATATATATATACCTACACATACACATACACGCTCATAGACAGATATTGAGCATCACTATCATAGCCTGCCGTGCAAGGACAATGTTCCCTTGGCGATGTGCAGCGCTGAATGTTGCTATAGGTCCAGCACGCCTGTAAGATAAGTGAGCATATAAGAGCAGTTTCCAAAAACGGCCATGTGCGTGTGCTTGACAATTTGATTTTCTTGAATCACAGCATCATAGTTTTGCAAGGGGATTTGCTTGGTGACTTGTTTAGGCTGTACTTGTGCACCATGTTGCATCACAGGCGACAGCAGCCACGGGCTTTTTCGCGGTGTGTAACGGAATCGTTGCCTGGCCCGTACCTCGCCATGGCCGACGCTGACAAAGGAGACCGCTTACCAGCAGCGGAGCGCAAGCGTCTGAAGAAGGAGAACCTGTAATCTCCATGTTGTTGTGTTTTTGCACGAGGCTGTTTGCATTACTTTTGGGTATTGCGATTGCTCACAAGCCTTTGTGAGGAGGCAGAGGCCAAAGCCAGAGCTGAAGAGAAAGCAAGAAAAAATGCCGAAAAGCAGGAGCAGGCACTGCGGCAAACTTGTGTGTCACAAGGGCGCAGGTTGGATCGATCATCAAGAGTAGACTCGGTAGACCTTTTGTGTACCTGTGCTGCATGGTGTGAGGAGCAGATGCATTTAGCGAGAATGCTGTGCACACCAACAGCCAACCAAGTCAATGTGAGATGTGAACCTGCTCCTCTCAGCGTGCTGAAGCAGGTTGTATCATATGCCACGAGGGGCCAACAGCTTTCTACTTTCTTTTCTTATATATATATATTGTTTTGTTTTTCAATTTTCAAGTGCATCAATCCTTCACATTTCATCCTGGTAGCAGTAACATGAGTGCGAACACTCTTGCGTGTGCGCGCACACGTACACACACGCGCACTCACACACACACACACTTAGAGAGTTGCTCGCAAGAGCTAAATTCGTCTGTGAAGTTCCCCTTGACTTGGTAGAACCGAAAGAATGCAAAACTGCAAGGTGACAGAGTCGGAGTAGTTGAAGGTGTTTAACAATCTGTTTCAGTGCATTAGCCGCTTGCTGCAAAACGGCAAGGTGAATGGGTCCGCAAGAACTGGAATGTTTAACATGGGTGAAACGGAGGAAGGAAAAATGCAGGTACGTGACTCTGGCGTCCCAGAGTCATTTCACATCCGATCAGCAGTGTCTTTGTTTGGCAGTGACTGCTGAAAGGACCACTGCCCCCCTGCTGGATTTCATGTACAAGAATGGAGTGGAACAGTGAAGGACCTTAGACACAGGTGGTGACACACACACACACACACACGCATAGACACACAAAAGTTGTGAAACATCCAACTCCGGCTGTAGCTTTTGAAGACGTGTCCAAGTGGGTGTGCATTTTAATAAGGAGACCCCCGCCCCAACCTATGGGTTTTTGGCCTTTGTCGTTTCGTACACGCGTCGCGTGCAATGGCTACCCTCAGCTAAGCGTAAGGTAGACATGACAATCTAATTGGATAAGATCCTCAGCACATGCAACCTGAACAAAGCAAGCGACATCCCCGCTCACGTCAGGTAGCGGAGCTGCCTGGAACAACAGGGCGCCAAGGCGCCTTTAAATTGAATATGGATCTACGACTTCTATGAAAATAGTCCCAAAGTGTCTTTGCAACACCCGGACCATTAGGAAGAACAAATTGGCCACACACGGAGGTCGTGGAGCAACCGAGCTGACGAAGTCGACCCCGGCCACACACCAACTCTGAAACAATTCACAACCTGCCCTTACTTTTGTGGTAGCCATATCTTCGTTTGAGGCCGGTTGCACATGTACACAAACTTTCCAGCAAGATGTAACATGATGTAACTAGCAGGAATCTTTGCAAGTGTACGAGCGGGAAGAATACACACCATTGTTTGAGGTTAGCAGCCGGTTAGCATTCCCTTGGCAGGCACAAACTTCGGGAAAGGTTGCTGAAGAGAAATTAGAGGAGGGACGGTGATTCTTCAGCGCGCGTGCAAGCTTCACATTTTGACAATGGTGGGTTGGAGGCACACCCCTGACCTGAGGATCTTGATCCTTCAAAGTACCGAGAAAATCGCATGGCTGCATTGAAAAAGCTGAAAGACCCATACCCCCACAAATGGGACGTGAACATATCCATCCCATATCTCATCGAGAAGTACAAAGATATCGAGGCTGGAGCGCACCTTGACTCTGAGCCACTTGGCATCTTTTTAAATAAGACCATTATATAAAACAATCTAATAGGAATGGCCTCTAACCTAGTAGCGATGGCCTCCAGCCTAATATCAATGGCCTTCAACCTAATATGGCTTCGAACCTAATAGGAATGGCCTCCAGCCTGATAGGAATGGCCTCCAACCTAATGGCGATGGCCTCCAACCTAATAGCGATGGCCTCCAACCCAATAGAGACGGCCTCCAACCTAATAGCCATGGCCTTCCGACCTAATAGCAATGGCCTCCACCCTAGTAGCTTGCAAAGTGTACACCTGTCGTTGGGGTTTGCATTGTTGGACTGCTGTGCCAAGGATTGTATGCGTAGCGGGCCGTGTGAAAAATAAGAGGAGATCTGGCGCAAAGCTGATGTTCTACGACCTCTTTGCTGATGGAGCCCGTGTGCAAATCATGTGCCAGGCCCAGCACCATGAAGATGGCGATTTTGAGGAGGAGCATGCCAAGACCTTCAGTCAAAGTTGGAACGAACCAGGTTGCTGTATCGCATGTGTGTATATATATATATACTATCTTTTATCACACATACAGCAGTGCGTTTGGCCACTTCTTTGGTTCCACGTAAGGGGCGCATGGGATCTCGTAGACCTGTGCTGGGTCTGAAGTCCATTGAGAGCTTGCTCTTTTGAGTTAGAATCAATTCTCCGCTCAGGATTAATCGTGGTGACATTATGGGCGTTCGGGGGTTCGTAGGCAAGTCGAACAACGGCGAGCTCTCGGTTTTCCCGAAGTCTGTGAAGCTTTTGGCAACGTGCCTTCATATGCTGCCAAGAGACCACCAAGGACTGAAGGACCAAGAAGTGCGGTACCGCCGACGTTACTTGGATCTCATGTTGAATGAGGATGTCAGGCGCACCTTTTACATCAGATCCAAGATCGTGAATTTCATCCGACACTTTCTCGATAGTCGTGGCTTCCTCGAAGTGGAAACACCAATGATGAACATGATTGCTGGTGGAGCTACAGCAAAGCCCTTCATCACGCATCACAATGAGCTTGATTTGGACCTCTACATGCGTGTGGCTCCAGAGCTCTACTTGAAGATGCTCGTCATTGGTGGTCTGGACCGGGTTTTTGAGATCGGCCGCAACTTTCGAAACGAAGGCATTGACTTGACGCACAATCCTGAATTCACGGCATGTGAGTTCTACATGGCATACGCAGATTACAATGACCTCATGGACATGACAGAAGAACTTTTCAGTGCCATGGTTCTGAGCATCAAGGGTAGCTACAAGATCGAATACCACCCAGCAGGTCCTGAAGGCCCACCAGTCGAGATAGACTTTACACCGCCATGGCCTCGCATTTCTATGGTTGAAGAAATTGAAAAGAAGAGCGGCATCAAAGTGGGGCTGCTTGTCTTGTGAGGAAAGCGTTCTGAACAACAGTATGTGACGCAGTTGGACACTCATAGCACTCACTCATATTTATCTATTTTTTGTCTACTTGTGAATTCATATATGTGATAATTTTGTTCAACGTGTTTTGATCTTTAACGGCTGCTGTGGAGAGAACCTTGTCGAAAGAAGAGCGTTCAACGTGGGAAAGGAATGCCACGCATAAAGCTGAGGCGAAACTTTGAGGACCCAGAGACGATCAAGAAGCTTGATGACCTCGTCCCATGCCTACTGTGCTACGACCACATAAAACCACATACTGTACAACCACCGTGCTGCGACTACTGTGACGGTACTGATCAGTACTGTCAGTACGGTACTGTGTAGCGATGTTGTATGATGAAGAAGGTGTGAGGGATTTGTGATGTGCGAAGAGAACTCAAAAAAACCTTATTATACGACACTCACACTTTTTATCGACACCTCGTAATTGAAAGCCCTTGATGCCACTACCCCTCGACACCACAAAGACAAGAGAACTCCTGGCTTTGGGGGAAGCGGAGCAGCACCAGCCTAAGGTCACCAAGTTGGAGTTGGAGTGCCCACCCCCACGTTCAGCAGCGCGCTTGCTTGACAAGCTTTGTGGCCATTACATTGAGGATCACATTGCGGCATGTCGGATAGTTTAGCCGCAAAAAGTATCGGCTTGCTTTTCGTTTGAACTAGCTGGCTTTGCATCATGTGTTGCCACCACCCTTCCACCCTTGCACCCTTGAAACAACAGGAGCATGTGCAGCATGCTGATGCACCTGTGTTCTTCTTGGTTTTGTTGGCAAGGTGAATCCTAGCTTCATTACGGAGCACCCCCAAGTGATGAGCCCCTTGGCAAAATGGCATAGAAGCAAGACTGGCCTGACTGAGCGCTTCGAGCTCTTTGTCAACACGAAGGAGATTTGCAATGCATATACTGAGCTGCACCTTGGACAATATCAATATGTTTGCAATCGGTAGTCTTCAGCCTTTCAGCCGTTTTTCATAAATAGTTTGGCCAGGGTGACAAAGGGCAAAGAAAATGAGTTCCAGAAGCGACCTCCTGACTATGCTACGAGAGTTATGAGAGCTGTTTACAGGATAATGCAGTCTTTTGCAAGCTGTAGAGGTCGAGAGTTCGTGAGAAAGCTGAGGAACGATCCTGAGAGGCAGATGGCATGCTTCCAGGGAGTGGCAAAAGCCGCCGCAGAAGGGGACGACGAAGCACAAGGTGTTGTCGACCATGAATTTGTGACTGCTCTTGAGCATGGACTGCCTCCGACGGGAGGCCGGCAACGTCTTTTCGCGGTTGGGCCGCTTTTGTGTTCCTGTTTGACCAGACTAGCGGTGAGTGTTCTCCAGGTTGGGGATGTGGAGTGGACCGCTTGACTATGTTCCTTGCCGACAAGATTCTCGGCTTGCGTACGTGCATGTTGTCTTCCAACATGTTGCCTTGCCCGCGTGAACGTATTGTTGCCTTCCAAGGAACAACATCAAAGAAGTCATTCTGTTCCCAGCCATGAAGCCGCAATGAGCAGACCCGGTCATAGCTTGCTCGTCAGCGGGGCTGCCAGAAGCCTGACGACAAAACGGACAGACCTCTTGAAGGAACATCAATTGACCCGCTCAAAAGTCAACTGCCTTGCTTTGGGCTCTCCGCCTCATTTGCACATGTGCTCCTTTTGCATACTGTAGTTTAGTTTTGTCTTCCAAGTTAGATTTCAGCGTGCGGGATGATTCTGCATTGGCTGCACTGCTGCGGCATTTTGCTCAAACATCTTATATATAGCTCCTGTACAGTAGGACGTCGAATGAGGATGGCAGGGCTTGTTGTTTTCTGGCTCTTTCAACCATGATCGATTACGAGTATAGTTCCTGAGCTGCAGCTGTTTGTCACATGTCACATACCAGAGCCATCGTGCTTCTGCGCAAGTAGCCTCTAAGAAAGAGATACAGTCAGAGAGAGAGAGAGAGAGAGAGTGAGAGAGAGAGAGAGAGAGCGAGCGAGCCAGCGAGCGAGCGAGGGAGGGAGGGAGGGAGCGAGAGAGGGAGAGAGGGAGAGAGGGAGAGAGGGAGAGAGGGGGAGAGGGGGAGAGGGGGAGAGGGAGAGACAGACACACACTGAGACTGACGCCAACTCTCACAATTGCATACAGAGAGCTTTCGCCCTTGCATGTCAGGTGTGTACAATTGTGCGTTCTTGTTGCGATATCGCGGCAGCGTTTTCCCCTTTGCCTGCTTGGTGGCCTTTCCATGCAGCTTCGGTTGCACAGATACTTTGTCGATCCTCCAGTGGGACAGATTGACAAGAGCAGCCAAGGCACCCTTGCCGCCGCACTGTTGAACCTGGGACTTGTGATTGACCTCTTTTGTTATGCAATTTTCGAGCCCTTTTTCTAAATGGGTTTGTGGGTGGGAATGGGATGGTGCGGGGGGAAGAGCTTCTAGCCTGTTCCGAGGAAGAGTTTTACACTCCACGATCCAGATTTTAACATGTCGGACTGGCAATTGCTGGCAGATGGCAGCTCTGGTGCTTGGAGCGGCTTCAATTTCCTGGTGCCCCAGCTTTCAGCTTTCAGCTTTACATTGTGAAGACTTCACTTTAGGGAGAACTCTTCTGTCTGCAAGCAAATTGAGTCAGTAGCTAGTAGAACTGGCATTTGCATAACATGCCACCTGAATGACTGTCACTCTTGATTTGGGCACGTTCAGTCTTCGTGTGGCGGGTGTGTTGAGGGGATGAAGGCTCAACAGATTTCAATCCTTTTGGCTGAGGTTGGCTTTGTCATCGTGTTCCGAACGTCCCAGGTGGCTCAGACAAGAAGGATTTGCGTCTTGATCGTAGCCTCTGGTTGCCTTAAGGGGACAAACAGATGGAATGATGTATACAGGTGTTGGACGACTAGAATCTAATATCTGTGTCAATAAGGCACATGTCACATCTTCCTATTGCTTTATTGGTCATTCCATGCAAAGGCTTCTATACAACGACTGCAAGGCCAGTAGAATCTTGAAGGATGTCTCTAGGTCTGACATGCAGCTGCGGGTGCTTGAGCGTGCCTGTGCCCCCAATGCGTTGTAGCAGGGTGTGGGCCATGTGGGGTAGAGCAAGGCGCTGTGAGAGGGCACCCCTGTAAAGCTTGACCTCCGCAGATTTGCACTTTCCCGTGGTTGATAATTACATGATATATATATATATATTTGCTGTTCAAGTTGGACACAGGTCACGAAAGGTAGCTTGAGCTACCTGAGTTCTCCTTGCTTTAGCAAAAATGTATTACAATCAGGAGTTGGGATTGTGCATTGAATTTGGTCCTGTAAGAGTTGATTCTGTTCGTCGGGGGGGGGGGGCCCCCCCCTGGATCAAATCCCCCCTGCGCCGGTTCACGCCGTCGTGGACTTCTACCAGGGTTACTTGTGATTGCCTGCTACCTTTCGTTCACCCCCTCCTCTCTCAAGTTGAATTTCCTTCTGGCAGCCGAGGCATACACTCGCTTTTGGTCTGCCTTAGGCGACACCCACCAGATGATGGCAGCATGGTTTGAAGCGGCGAGCAGTGTTGTTGCATTTTCAAGGAGAGATCGACATGAGACAAAGACAACGTGCGGTGGCTAAACTACCAGCCCTTGCCACTCTGACTGAAACGCGGTGTGATGTTTGGGATGCGAATCTTGAGAAGATTTGACACCCATGTGGCCCCATATGTGAATCCATGCAGTACACCGCCGACCTCGGCAGCTGATTGTTTCCGTGCAAGGAGCTCCCCTGCAGACATGTTGGTCGTTGAGAATTGGCTCCACACTGCAGCTTGGCCTTGAACTCTCCATAGGTCAATTCTGTCAGTTAATTCCATCTCCAGTTGTATTGCTTTTTGCAGCGAAGGTGATTCGATTGTTCAGCCTGCTGAGTGCATCCGCCTTACAGGAACTGACGGATGTTGCATATCACCACACTTGGGGATTGCCAACCTTGGATGCATCTGCGATTGATCCACAAAGCATAAGCACTCTTGATGCTTCGTCCTGCAGAGTGGAGCTGCTTTACCATTGGATCCAGCAGTTCATCTCAGATGGAGCTCAGCTAGGCGTGCTCACTACACCTGCACCTTTGCTAAACCGCACCCTTGCAGAGCTGGCCAAGGGAATGGACAAATATCAAGATGCGATGAAACATTCCAAGATCCCTTTTCCCTTTCCCTATGCGCAAACTACCTTGGTGCTCTTAATCTTCCATTGGATTCTGACGCCGCTGGTCATGGCGCAGTGGACAACTACGGTGTTTGGATCCGCAGTCTTCACCTTTGTTCAGGTATTTACCTTGTGGTGCCTCAATGCTACAGCTGTGGGTTTCGAGCGGCCGTTCGGGGGAGAGGCAAACGATATTGACCACATCGACTTACAAATGATGATGAACAAAAGCCTCATCAACTTGATGGAACCACGATCTCGCCGACTTCCCTTCATCCCAGCTACAACGTATCTCGACATCGAGGTACTACGGAAAAGGGACACAATCCACGCGGCTGCATTGCAGCAGGAAGGCTGGGAGCTAAAGGATATAGACTGGAACGCAGGTATCGCTGGTATGGCAGGTGCTTTCCAAGCTTGTTGTCGTTCCTGCAGTAAACGACGCAGACCTACTGCAGGGCGCAGCCTCATTGCAGTCTCTACACGCTACAGCAGCAAACGTTATTGTGAAATAGACGGAGAAAAGACAGCCGTGCTGACTGTCGGAATCGTTGGCTCCGAATTGTTCTTGGCACTGCCAGCCCTTCCAAATGACACCCGGAACACGTTTGAAGTGCTCAACGTCGCAGGGCGCCCCTGCACATTGCGAGCAAAGCGGATCCCAATCCAACAAAGACATTTGCTGACTAAAGCACCAGATCCGGCATGGAAACTTGGTCTGACAATGTGACTCAGGTAGGAAGGGTTGGGTTGCCCCAGGCCCCAGCATCTCAGATCACAGAGACAGTCATTGACAGTCATAAACACATGTCAGAAGACAACAGTATATATATATATAAGTTATGATAAGATGATAAGATATGACAAAAATATGATAAGTAATCACGAAAGCTAGCATCAGCTAGCTGGAGTTGCTCTTGCTTTAGCAAGTCAAGGGCTCGCAGCCTCGAGAATCATGAATCACGTGAAAACTTCACGTGTAGGGCCCCCCCCCCCCCCGCTCCAACCCCCCCCTGGGACGCTTCCGGTACGTGCTATAGTGCTATGTTTAAGGGTTCAAGGCTTCAATGATGAGCATCACGGGAAGTCAGAAACCAGGCGTATCAGATACACGTGCCTTTGAGCTTCCTTCGGCATCTCAGTGCATATGGCTGACACTTCACTCGACAAAGATGATACATAAACCAGGTGTATCTGATACGCCTGGTTTGTGACTTCCCGTGATTCAACTGTTGGATCGTCATGTATGTAATGAGGGACTGAAGAAAAGCAACCAGTCCGGATGCACCCCTGCTAGCTTTCGTCACCTACCCTCGGCCTCAAGTGTAAGTCAAGCTGAAAACACCTACAGGGATCATTAAAAAAGGATCAAAGCACCCCTATGTTGTCAACGTTCTGGTTGATATATATATATATATATATGTATTTTCATACGTATAAACTAGCAAATACATGAACATATATATATATACAGATAAGTTATATGTGCTATATGCTTCCTACTCTCCACGGGTGCAGAGGCGTTGCCCTATGGTTCCGCATAATCCATAAGTGCACACAGGTAGTAGACAAGATAAGAAAGGAGGGTAGGTGCGACGCACAAGTGCACCGAGACCCAAGATCTCATGTTGTGGCGAGACCAGAGTAAAGCAGTTAACCACACCTGCATTCAGTGTGCTTCCTACTCTTGGTCACTCCAGCACCATACCCCCCTTATGTTTACAGAGACATTGGCCCACAAGGGCCGAATGAAGCCTGAAACCAACCAGAACTAGGGAGCACTCAGAAAGGACCTGCCATTGCGAAGAAACTGCAAGAAGTCATGGATGGAGAACTCCCGAGTCAAGGGGATAAGGAAGGACAGAAGGATGGAAGGAGGAAGGAAAAAACAAGATATATACATTGTATTACACAGCGTTTTTGTCACAGGAGTGAATCATTGGCTTGATCAAATCAAGCACTCCTAGTTTGAGAGTGATCCCATTTCAGATGCCAGGTCACAGTTCCAAGTTTCAGCAGTTGGGGGCTTAAGCACTTCAATGGCGAAAAACAGTGTCCCGGCCCATGCCCTTCCTCGTAAAGAGTAAAGAGGGCTTCCTGCTTATCAATGGTCCCTCCAAGGCAGTCCCTCAAGTCAAGCTGTTTGAAAATAGCCGACAGTCATATTGCCAAGTACCTTCAACTGATTGCAACGCGTGCGTCACATCAGGGTGACTGCTTGTTGAAACGATAACCATAAAAAGCGGTTTGAGATTTGGAGGCATGGTTGATCATTCTTTGCATTTTTTGAATTGATTTAGGCGGGAGGTGTGAGACTCGCGTCTACATGGTTGCACACCTGCATGTTTGCAAGTAAGCTTTATTGTCAGTGCTTAGCTGAGCTGCTCGCTTAGTATTGACCTTTTGCAAGTAAACAACCTCTAGAGTCCAGGCTTGAGATCACCACTTCTAGACCCCTGCTGGTCCTAGCACCCAGACTTGAACCTTCGAATCATTGCACAGGGGCTAGTGGTTGTCCTGAGCGGAAGTGAGGCTCCGCGTCCTTGCATAAGCTGTTTGCGGCCCCTCTTTTGATGTCAATTGGGTGAACCAAGATTGATTTTCGATCTTGCTCATGCGAAGCGAGCATACTTGATGGAATGCTTGATGATTCATGTTTTTCATGGGACCTTGTGACCAAACTGTTGGACGAAACCTGCAAAACACAGTATTCATTCCATAACTTTTTTTTTAATTTGTCAAGTGCGTGTGGCTCAATCTTTGTGAGGAATGACGATTATCGTGATTTTCCACCGGAGTACAACTTTGCAGCTGAAGCACTGGCAAGAGCATACGAGAAGCAGAAGGGGTCAAGAGCAGAGGTAGGAAGACATTCCCAAGGCGAAGAGGCCAAAGCGCCTTGGTGTTACTGTTCCCAAAGAAGTAACGCGGTGCCGTAAATAATTCTATTTTAATCGTTTTTGACAGCTTTCGTTCTTGTGTTTTTTTGCGAATCTATGCTCTTGAGGTGATGAGAGGTGTGTCCCAGCATTTGCAAGGAGGTCCAGGAGAAGCAGCACCTGAAGCCACCAACCCAGAGCAAGAACAAACTGGACACATATGAATTAAGAAGCACATAATACGTATACAACATACATCTAGATATAAACTTAAAAATATCAGAGTCATAAAGGAAGAAGAGATATGAAAGAAGGAAGTTACCTTCCTTTGATTAATATCATTTTCTAATCTTGTATTATTGAACAAGACACTGATAGCTGGAAGCCCTGGAAACTTGAGGCAGATGACAAGGGCCCAGTCCTTCCAGGTGCAGTGCAGGACCTTAAGGCGGGTCAAGGAGAGAGAGAGAGAGAGAGAGCGAGAGAGAGAGACATTGAGGCAACCTAATAGCAATGGCCTCCAACCTAGAAGCGATGGCCTCCAGCCTACTGGCGAGAGAGACATTAAGGCGCAAAGGCGGGTTGCAATAAGCTTTCTGCTCATCCCTCCCAGCAGGACCCTATGCCAGAGGCTCCGAGTGGGTCGAGTGAGAGGAAGGTGGCACCTCTTCCCGCCGGTGGGACTGGAGTGCCTCTTTTGAAAAGTCTAAAGCAATACAGAGAACTGCTAAAGTCGTGCCTGTATGTTGGAAATCTTAGCAAATAGCTTGGGGAAAGGGTTTTTCAGAAGTCGTGCCTTTTTACTCAACGCATTGTAAATGCAATCCGAAATGGTGGTTTTGAAGCTTTTTTTGATGTATTTTGTTGCGTTTAGCTTGTGTCCAGCTAATGGGGCGGAGTTGTTTTCTTTGAGTTCGACGCTTTTGATTGTTGCGTTTAGTTTGTGTTCTGCATTTTTTGGAATATCTTCGGATATAGTTGCAAAGACTCTTTATGTTGGAATTTGCATGGGCAGTGCTACTGTTTGATGTTTGCTGCTTTGTTTTGAAAACCGAATCACGCATTTTGCGCCTGAATGTTCGGCAAGACTGTACTGACGTGATGGGTGATGAGATTTTGCATGAAGACTGCAGACCCAAGTTGACCAGCAGTTGACCAGCAGTGAAGCGCTTGGCTATCGGCATGGCGTGCAAACCGTGGAAAGCGGTTTGCAAAAGTTGCCAAAAAATAGAATTCAGAGATCGCACGGCTCCAAAAACTGTTGCGTTTAGCTTGGGGGAAGCATGAAAGGCATGAGATAGGCATGACTTTCCTAAAACTGCGTTTACATGCTGGAACACATAGATTTCAGGACGCAGGCGTGAGTTAGGCATGAGTTTCGCGCTTGCCTGTAGCCTTGAAGTCGTACCACAGCGGCTTGCGGAAAGTCTAAATACGCATTTATTAGGCAGTTCCTGCAAGACTGTGCAGAATACAGGCATTGTAGGAAGTCAATGGAAGCGAATCATGGCCAAGGTTGCTACACAGCCAGACGCTCCTTCCAGTGAAAAGCCCAGCGAAGAACACCTGTCCGCGAGGAAAGAAGGCCATGTGGCTTGTGGCCACCGAAACCGTTGCCTTCTCATGGGCAACCTTTGTCCACCCTTTGTTTCAAAGTTTTCTTTCAAACTCCACACTCAGCAAGCGAAACTTAAGTCTTATCATGCTTAGACAGATTTGTGGACCTTTGTTGATCCAGGTCCGAGGGATGTGGTTCTTCCATGGATGCGAGAAGCGGATGAAGGGAAGAAGCCGGAGGATCGCCATTTCGTGCAAGACCACCCAACCTCAAAGTAATCAAATGATTAGTGCGAGCGCTTCTTCAAGGAAGCTCCCCCGCCCTCAGGCGTGGGGAGCTTCCTTGAAGAAGCGTGAGCTATCCTGCGTCCATGTCTAGGAGCTAGTAGCTACCTCTTCTTCCTCTTGTACCCCCCTCCCCCAGGCCTAAAAATACTCCTTTGAAGGATGCTTTTGGCAATGTCTTTCCGGCTGTCTCCAGTTGTTTGCTATGCTGGATTGCTCGCCTCTTTCGTGTCTACAGGATAGGGAAACCGATGGAAACCAAATAATCCACTTAGAACAGACACCCTTGACCAAACCTGGGTGCCCACGCATACACGAAGTCAGGGTGCACTGGGAATGAGTGTTTGAGGTTGACTCACAAGAAAACGTTTCCCGTGTCAGAGTTGTTTGATTCCTCAACATTCTTATGTGGACGGGTGAAATAGCCCGCAGCGTTCATGTGGGGAAGCGACAGGTTCAACTCACCATCCTCCCTTCAGGAGCCAAAGCCTCCAGAAGGAGGGCAAGTCCTTCCATGGGGGGCGCAGATAACTGGAAAGGAGGTTGAATCGGCACCAGCTGAGGATGCAAAATGTGACTTTGCATGCAAAATGTGTGAAAGGCTCAATGGGTTTCCTCCGTCAGTGGAAGAGAGTCACCTTCCAAGGTGACCTCGAAGCTGGAGCACAGGACCCCGAGCAAGTCATGCAGGATGGCAGGGAGGTCACCGCTGCAGTGAGTTCCCTGGCGTGGAAGTTCGCAAGGTTTCGGGTCTACTAGGTACTAGCGTTAAGTCAACTCAGCTTGTGTAAAGTCGACTCGGAACCGTGTGCCCTTGAAGAACTGCACTCCACAGGGATGCCTAAGCATAGATTGTATTGATCTTGTTTTGTCTTGTGCCCATGCTGTGCCTGATTGTCACTCGTTTGTATTTATGCATCTGTTCTTTGGGGGAGGGCAGCTTCCACAGAGGTGAAGGGTCACGGATTTGTGACAGTTTTGATGCAGAGCACCTTGGGCCCATGCCATAATTGCAAGGATCTTCGGGCCCAGCTGGTCTTCTGCCGATGCTGCTGGTTTGCTGGTGCTGTTGTTGTTGCTGTGCTGGTTGGCGGCTAGTTTGCTGCTGCTGCTGCTGCTGCGACTTAGTCGTGGCGTGGCTTGGCCAAAATGCGTCGACTTCACGCGAGTGGGTTGACTTCGGCTGAAACCTTGTGCCCACGCAGTGAGTTGACTTCACGCGAGGTGGGTTGACTTATATAAGTACGCCGCTTGTATGTGAAAGCGCTGTTTGGGGCCAAGAGATGCACATGAGTGACATGACCTCAAATGAATTCTAAAAACTATGAAACTATACTGTGCAGTCGCCCGACTGAACACCTCTGCTTGAGACTTGCCTAGTTATTGACCAAGCAGGGCTGCCTGGCAAAAATGGAATGATGCGAGGTAAGGTTATAGCGTTGTGTAATGTAGAGCTCTGGTGGCTTTGCCTAATTACAGCAGTGCAAAAAACATCACCGCGCCGCTACAAGATTTTTCCCTTACACTCCATGCCTTGTCCAGATGACTCCTTGCAGACATTGCAAGCAAAATCTGCAGGTTGATGAAGTTCACCAGTGATAAAACAAAAATGACAACAAGAAGGCAACAAGAATGACAACAAGAATCTACAAGGGGTCTTCTCAAGGTCTGAATGGTGGTCGCTGTACACAATTAAATACATACATGGGGCCCGCCGTGACGAAACCACACTTTTGATGGTTTTGTGGCGACAAAACTGGCCCCCTCCTCGCAGCAGGCAATGCGTGGGGTGAGACAAGGGACATCGCCAGTGCTAGTGACGTGCCAGTTTTCTTTGTCCCAGCATGTTGCAAAATTCTATACCAGCACTCGCGGTCTGGCCCCAAATCCATTTTCTGGTTAAAGATCGTGCCCGTTCTTGGGACCACGAAGCTGCGCAAACGCAACAGTATACAGTATTTTGGCCATCATGATGGGGTGCGAAATTATTACTTTGTTGGATAATTTTGGGGCTGCGTCGGGCAACGCGGCGGCAACATGTTTGAGTTCGACACAAACACGCACACTTATAGAAATGCGTGCTGATGTGAAACGGTTGCCAGCCGCCAACCTGGAGCAGGGCCAAAAGCTCAATGCGTGACTGCAGAAAAGGCTTAATAATTGAAAGGCAGGTACGTCAGTGCTGGCCGGGCACTGATATCACATCCACTTGGCGCGGTCTTTGTTAGATGAGGCACACCAAGGGATCCTCATCCTTTAGAGAAGTCCGTTAGAGAAGTGATCCCCCGGGGCCCCTGCTGTTAAAAAACAAGTTGAGTGCTTCCCTAAACCCAGGCTGTAAACGGTCAATGCAGAATCGCTTTTAGTAAGCCACAGGCAGTGACTTCCCTTTGACTCGTTCGGTCAAGCTCCCTCAAGCACATGATTTGCCGGTTCCGCTCTCTCTCTCTCTCTCTCTCGCACAGCGGCCCCTGCTGAAGCAAGAAAAACATGAAGAAATCTCTAATCCAAAAGGATCCCTGTGACTCCAAGGGGTACACACACACACACGACCCGCAAGGGGAGGCACGCGGAGACACATCCAGTTGATCATCCGTGCTTCTCTAAATCCAGGCTGTAAATGGTCAATGCAGAATCGTTTTTAGTAAGCCACAGGCAGTGACTTTCCTTTTGACTCGTTCGGTCAAACTCACTCAAGCAAATGATTTGCCGGTTCCCCACTCCGACCGGCGGGTTCCTCTCTCTCTCTCTCTCTCTGTGTCTCTCTCTCTCTCACGGCAGCCGCGGCGGCGCAGGAAGGGTGATGGAGAGAGAGAGAGAGAGGTGCCCCCAGCTACGAAACAAGCGTCCAGGGACACGAGGGGGTGTACCTGAGTGTTGCGCCCAGGAACACCCAAAAAACAGGCAAGACGGAAGAGGGGAGAAGGGAAGGGGAGGAATTGAGGATTAAGGCCCCCGACAGGTTCCAATGAACCTTAAGTAGCTTCGGCCGCTGCGGCCACGTACGCCGTGCCAAAATGGCTGGCTGCTTTAACTTTGACCGCTGTGGTCAGCTAATGGCTTGTCCGAAGACTGCCCACTTGGAATTTGATAATCCGTCAGGTCTTGGCAAATAACTTTAATTAGCATAAGCCTCCTGCTGTCCGCTCTGGACACGTACATCTCCGGGCAGGGGAGATAAAGCCCTTCGGTCGAGCTCCTCAAGCAAATTATTTGCCGGTTCCCAACCCCGACCAGCGGGTTCCGCTCTCTCGTCGAAGCAAGAAAAACGTAAAGAAATCTCTAATCCAAAAGGATCCCTGTGACCCCAACATTTACAGGGGAGGCGCACGGAGACACATCCAGTTGATCATCCCCTGCTGTAAAGAACAAGTTCAGTGCTTCCCAAAATCCAGACGGTAAATGGTCAAGGCAGAATTGTCTTTAGTATGCCGCAGGCAGTGACTTTGACTCGTTCGGTCAAGCTCCCTCAAGCAAATGATTTTGCCGGTTCACAACTCGTTCTGTCAAGCTCCCTCAAGCGAAGGATTTGCCCCATTCCGACTGGCGGGTTCCGCCCTCTCTCTCTCTCTCTCTCTCTCTCTCTCTCTCTTGTGAAATTCAACATGACACTGTTCCCAACATTGAGGGAGATATACCTCGACATTGTGGCTCAACACTAGGGCCCTTGAGCACATTCAACATACAAACAAAAGGCGCGAGCATTTCAGCAAACAGTTCAACAATACTTCAAACTTTACATGGTAGCGGAGCAGACCTGGAAATGATCCGGGCTGCTCAACTGATCAACCGATCAGTCGCAACAACAACGCATAGCATCAACAACCATTGCTGGAGAGGGTTGATCTACTGATCAGCAACGGGCCAGTAGGGACTTCTTGACAATGGCGCAAGCAGGGGAACAACAAGCACAAGAACCACAGGAAGCATTAGCAAGCTCACACAAGTACCGCATCAAGCCACCGACATTTGACGGCAACTATGCACACTTTGAGGAATGGAAGTGCAAATTCACAGCATACATGGGACTCACCAACAACAGGTATCCACTACTGCTAGACCAGACAGCAGCAGCAGCCACCCTCATTGATGAGGCAAGACTACGAGGAGCAGCATCAACAACAGAAGAAGCCAACGAGAACATCCAAATGTCAGCAGATCTGAAGTACATCCTCATCAGCATCACCAGTGGATCAGCAGCCATGATTTACAGACAATATCAGCAGACTACAGGCTTCGAGATATGGAGACAACTCCATGTCCGATTCATGATTCCAACAGGAACTCGAGGAATCGGTTGTCTCACGCGACTTCTCAAACCAACATTCGATCACCACAACTTCGAAGAGTCTTTCACACAATGGGAATATGAAGTCAACAGATTTGAGACAGACAACCAATCACCATTGCCAGAAGCAGTCAAAGTCGCCATCTTGCTCAACGAGACCAAAGGTTCACTACAGCAACGTCTACAACTACAAGCAGGTACAAATCCAACAGACACACACACATCAGAACAACCATCATGGAATACTACAAGTCGATTACGCCTTCAGCAGGATGCAACAAGCCACATCAGCTCAAGCAACATACCAAGGAGGAGGAGCCGCGCCAATGGACATAGGAGCAATCAACAAAGGAAAAGGAAAGGCCACAAAGGAAAGAGCAACAAGGGCAAAAGCAAGCAGAACAAGGGCTACAACGACAGCAAGGGAAAAGGCAATGGAAACTACAACAAAGGAGGATTCGGCAAGGGCAAAGGAAAGATACTGATGCAACAGAAAGGATAGCAACAACAGCCGATTGGACAAGGCAATCCATTCAGCAAGGGCTATGCGCAAGCACCACACAAAGGCAACAAAGGAAAAGGCAAAGGTAAGCCGGTCACAGCAATCTGCTACAAGTGCGGCAACCCAGGTCACATGGCCCCGGGATTGTCGAGTGGCAGTGTACAACATGGGGGAAGCGACATATGAAGATCAGACGCAAGCATGGTGGAATGACCAACAGTATGATGCAACATGGTGGAGCCAGGACTTACGACATGTTCAGCAGACGCAGCCGCAACAGCAGTTAGCCTTACCACCAGCTCCAACATGTCCAGTAGCTCAAGCAAACACTGAGCAAATCCACTTCATCAGCGGGGTCGGCAACGACCTTCTCATTGCAGCCATTGGGCATCAACAGGTAAGCAAGACACAGAGTACAGCTGATTCCAGCAGAGCGCATCTCATGATCGACAGTGGAGCAGCAACACATGTATGCCCAACATGGTTTGCGCCAGCATCACCTATGCACCCACTCAGCAATGAACAAGGACCAAGACTTCGATCAGTGACCAACAACAACATCCAGCTGTTTGGGTACAAATGGGTCTACACGCAAAACAACAATGGACAAAGCATCATCATCCCTTTCTAAGTATGCAATGTCCATCAACCCATTCTGTCAGTCGCCAGACTGGCTGAACAAGGATTTACATTGCAGTTCGGGGACAACCCGCACATTGAACACAGTAAAGGGTTTCGATCAACACAGGAACAGAAGGATAGTCTGTATTATCTCAACACAAAGATCCTTCAACTGCCAGAGGATCGCAGACTACACATCGAACAGGCCGACGACGGAACAGTCTCGGCCATGATCGCGCCAACAACAGCTCTCACACCTGATGGTCCAACTGTTGTTCTTGGGGGCCGACAGGACTATTGGACATAC